AAAGGGATGGGGGTGAACGGAAAGAAAAAAATAAAAATAACTGCCCAGCAATGCGAAAGGAATTGTGAATAGAAGGAACATGAATGTGACAAATAATGGGTATTACATATTTGTATGTGGGTATTTATGTGTGTTTGTGAGCAAAAATGAAAAAAAGGAAAAAAAACAACAACAACAACAACAAACAAAAAAGAAAAAAGAAGAAAAGATGGGGCACAGGAGAAGTTGTTTCGTTGCGCATTTGTTGTGAAAGTTAACAAAAAAAAAAAAAAAAAAGAAAAAAAAAAATATATATATATAAATATATATATTTAAATTTATGCATTCACTCTTATTTTTGTTCGTACTGTCATTTGTTTGTTTTACACGGGAGCGGGTCACTTTTGATGAGTCCGGAGAGCAAATTTTTTTTTCTTTTTTGTTGTTTTTTGGTAGCTAGCGGTGTCGGTGGTAGGAAAAAGAGGCCACTGGGGCTTTTTAGAGCCTCAATTCTTTTTTTTTTCTGTTTTTTGTTTTTATTTTTATTTTTATTTTATTTTGTGTGTGCGTGTTTTCATATTTAATTTGCCAGATCCACTTTTTGCATGAATAATGGGACAACGAGCAGGCGAGAAGGAAACAAATAGAAAAGAAAAAAAAAAAAAAGAAGGGACTTCTTTGCGGTTTTTCCCGAGGCGAGGCGAGGGGGGGGAAGGGGGGAAGGGGGGACAATTGGGGTGAAGTTGTGGATGTTTTATTTTGTACTTTTATTTATGTACATATTTATATTTGAATTTGAATTTATATATTTGTGTGCTCCACCGCCCCCCTTCCGCGTGGCTGTACACATGAGGAGGAGGGAAAGCGGGGTTAATCACATCCAAAAGGAAATGAAGGAACACATTTATTATTATCATTATTATTATTATTATTATTATTTGACTCCCTTCGTGTCTAGAACGCGGGGAAGATTTGTTATTATTATTGCCTCCTTCCTTTTTTTTTTTTTTTTTTTTTTTTGTTGTTGTTGTTGCATTTATTATTATTATTATTTATTTCTCCCATCCCCTCTATGAGGCGCGGTTGTTTCTTTTGTTTGTTTCATGGGCGCCACTTTTTCCATACTCGTCACTCGATCGTCTGCGCGTGCCTCTTTCTCCCTGACGAAATTCGTTTGCCGGAGATCTCCCCTTTTATTCCTTTGTTCTCTGTCCCCATCGAGTCCTGTGACTCTCCAGTGCTGTCTTTGCCTTTCTTTTTTGTTTCCGCGGCACAAACACCGTGGCATTTATTTTTATTTTTGTTTTTTATTTTTTTGCCGATCTCATTGGCGTTGGTGGTGACGGTGGTGGGAGAAGTTAGGGGTATTTTGCGTGGAAGCGGGGGAGTTTCGGAGAAGAGAGCGGGTCCGAATGCAGGAGGAACTTTCCTTCCTGTGGAAGCTGCAGCTGATATACGGTAAGAATGAGTTGTACCGCCAGCTGGAGCACCTGCTCGGGCGGCCGGAAAGTGTGGAGCAGGCGGAGGGGTACTACGACGATGTAGAGGAGTTGGTAGCGCTCTTTTTACGCGAGGGAGGCAACGCGGGCGGGGAGGAGTCTCTGCTCGCGGCGCTTAACAGCGCCATTAATGCTGCTGAGGACGATGAGCCCTCCATTCCGTTGGAGCAGCTTCGCGGTCTTGTGCGTCTTATGCAGACGAACCTGCGTGGCGTCGACTGGCCGAAGTGCCTTGAGGCCGGTGCGCTCGCGATTGCGGAGAAGGAGCGGAGCGAAGCGGAGGCGGCGTTACGGCAGAAGTTGTTGCAGCAGGAGGAGGAAGAGGCGGCGCAGCGGGATGAGCGGGGGCGGAGGGCGCTCGAGAGCCTTGCAACCGACGCTGCGGAGCGCCGTGCGGCGATGAAAGTGCGGGCGGAGGAGAAGATGCAGCTGGCGCAACTGGTGCGCAGCGGTCTGCTTGACGAGTCGGAGTTGCTGCAGCTACGTACCGATGACGAGGAGGTGGAGCAAGTGGAGCTGAATGAGGAGGAGCCGCGGTTTCTGCGCGGGTTGGTGCGACATCGACTCATCAACTACCGTGCACTGCTGCCGTCGGAGCAGTTGATGCGGGCGAGTACGCCAGCGCAACGGGAGGCGATTATTGCGCGACGGGCCATGCAGCAGACGACCGCCGATGAAATTGAGACGAACAGCATGAAGCGTGCGGCGATTTCACAGCAGCTACGCAACAAAGACCGGCAGATTCTCCGAGCGAAGGAGCGGCGTCTGCAAAGACTGACCGAACACGCACGCGGCGGCGTGGACGACGGCTTTGCGCGCCGCAACAGAGGCGCCAACGACGGGGAAGGGGAGGAGGAGGAGGAGGGCGGGTGGGAGGCCAAAGGAAACGGCCAGTACAATGGCAATGCGGATGACAACGGCATACTCGGCCACGAGCTGCTGGAGCGTCCGGAGGATCGTGCGGG